GAATGCTTTTGAGGCTTTGCAAAGCCAGTCAGTTGATTGGGCGCTGTTGGAGCAGCTCAAGCCCGAATTCGCCGCAACCGGAGATAATTTTGAGGTGGCGAAATTTCTGGTTGTCCTGTTGCACGAACTGCGCATAAGCCAGCCTGCGCTTCTCGAGGAGGACTACGGGCTGAGCAAAGAGCACAACGAGCATATCGCAGTCGTACTGCAACATCTTGCGCATCAACACAGCTGGGATCCGTATGATTCCTGGCCAGCAATCCTTTTCCAAAGTAACAACATCAACACAGCCGAATCTATAGATTCCAGTACTATCACGCCAAAGGTACAAGTTTTTTTTTTTTTCATACACGCGTGTTGAATGCTCTGTTTTCTCATGTCTAAGATGTAAATGGTTTCTTTTTTTGTTTTTTACCACACGGTGATTGTTCACTTGTCAAAAAGTAGGAATTTTTTTTTTTTTTTTTTTCATATATGAATGTTGTTATCTTCCTACGTCTTAGGGCTAAATGGGTCTACAGATTCAAGTACTATCACGCCAAAGGTACAAGTTTTTTTTTCATACGTGCGTATTGAATGCTCTGTTTTCTCATGTCTAAGGTGTAAATGATTTCTTTTTTTGTTTTTTACCACACGGTGGTTGTTCACTTGTCAAAAAAGTAGACAGAAATGTTTTTTTTTTCATGTATGAATGTTGAATGTTGTTACTTTCCTATAGCTTAGGATTAAATGGGTCTACAGATTCCAGTACTATCACGCCAAAAGTACAGGTTTCTTTCATACACGCGTGTTGAATGCTCTGTTTTCTCATGTTTAAGGTGTAAATGGTTTCTTTTTTTTATTTTTTACCACACGGTGGTTGTTCATTTGTCAAAAAGTAGACAGAAATGTTTTTTTTTCCTATATGTGAATGTTGTTATCTTCCTACATTTTAGGGCTAAATGGGGTTTTTTTTCTACTTTTTACTACACAGTGTTTCGTTCATGTTCCATAAAGTTGACA